AGCTGTTGCATTGTGGTAAACTGTGGTCAATGACATGAGACAAAGTATATGTGAACTGCGGTATCGAGAGTGAATTTGCTCTGTAAATCTTCACTCAAATCACAATAAAAAAAAAAAAAGAAATGTAGATTGTTTCATCTCTACCTAAAATCAAGTTTTTTTGTTTGTTTCTTTTAACCAGGCCAGAATATAACGCATTTATGAAGCACAAACCTCCTCACTTTTCTGCAATACCCAATCAGCGTACTTCCACACCAGCTCCTGGTCTAAGCAGTAGGTAAGAAAATCAACGACATATTCATAGAGGTCTGAGCGAGTAGAGTCGTGAATATCTCCGTTCACAATGTTCACCCATAACTGGAGAAGAATAAAAAATAAAAAGAGATGGAAAGTTACAAACCTGTTAGAACTGGCTTAGACAACAGCACGAGGCTCACTCACTTCATCCTGTGATATTTAAAAGTAGTAGCAAAATCTTAAATGCTTAACTCAATTTTAATTATTTTTCAGAGAAATGAAGTACAGAAGACACAGTTCAGGATACTGAAAAAATAAAGCACTAAGGACTTTTTCTTTCCTTTTATGATATCACAATAGTACAAACAGTAAATGAAATTTATGGGGAGAAGTGAGTACACTAAAAATGTTTATTCGTGAGACAAAACAATCGCTGACAATGTCTTGGTGCATAGAGAAGCAATCCACCTGTAACGTATCAGCTATGTGCTGTTCCCACCTTCCCCATCACGGGAATTCTTGATTCTAAAGTTCTTTTCAAACTCAGTGATGGGAAAATGTATTTGTAGGAAGTCTTGGTGATTCTGTCTTCTGGTGTTCTATCTTCTGCACTGGGGGCTCAGGCAGCCAACCTTACTTTAGACTCACCAATGATAAAGCCTTTTGCTATTTCTTCCAGAAACATCCCTGCCATGTTAACTAGTACTTAATTTCAGAATTAAGATGCACCATCACGTGGTGATAGAAAAGTTGAAGGCTGCATGAGAACTCAGTCTGCATCAAGTGGGTGGGGTGCCTTATTCACTCGTCCACTTTGTGGCACTTCAGAACCACATCACCAGTTAGAAGCCCAAGAAAGCGTGCAGGCAGGTTAAATCCTACAATTCTGATATCAGTATATATACATGTTTTATGATATTAATTTCTCCAACACTAATTTCCCAAAGTAAAACACTTAATCAGAAAAACACTGAGATGTGTAGATTTTTTATGGTAGAATTCTGCCCTAAGCAAATGTATTTCATATTATTTTAAGTTTGCAATTCTCTCTCTAATCATAGCTCTGCTAATGTCATAATACATCAAGCTGTAATTCTTAGACATTCTATTGTAAAAAATAAAAATTTTATCTGACACCCAAATCAACTTAGTCATTTTTTTTTTAACTCTACTTTGCAATCATACTATCATGATAATTTCTTGAAGCAACTAAAGACTAAATGTATGTGTGGCTTTGGCAAAGTCACAAAGTTGACTTTAGCTCGATTAGTATGGCTGATGTCCTTGGCCTCTCATTAAAAGAAAAGAAAAAAAGATCATCAGGAAACTACTAAACAATGCAATACAGATAGGTAACAAATAACAAAGAAAGTCTCCTGAGAGTATGAGATGAGGTATTTTTTCAACATTGGTCATAAGATACAAGATGCCAGAGAAGAGACAACACTGACAAGTCTACGCCATATTTAATTCAAGCACAGAGACCCTGCCAAAGCCACCTGGAGCACTAGTTCACACCTCACCTCAACCACTGACAGTGGTGAGACCTTGGGCAAGTGACTTGCCTTGCTCAGCCTCAATTTTGTCATAGACAATGACAGTAGCTATTGTCATTAACAGTGGAAATTCTAAACTAAACTGCTATTCATAGCTATAATTGTCTGATAAGGCAACAATATCATAATACCTTATAGCCCAGTAAGAAATCATAATTTTATCTTTTTAATTTTCATGAACTCAAGTTTGATGATGTTCTTTACAGAGGTATAAACACAAGGAAAAGAAACTCTTGGCCACCATTTCTCTAGAAACTGACTTTCTAAAACAGTATTATGTATGTCCTGTAAAAAAAGGATATAGATCAGGTAAAAGTTGCCTCTATCAATTTGTGATTTCTTTTTTTAAGTTAAATGGTACCAAATTTAAAACAATGCTAAAATGCTTTTGAACTAACCTGAAGTGCAGCAGCGTCTTGGTTATTGTAATGATAAAGCAGTCCAAGTGCAAAATATCTGAAAGAAAACAACTAGTTAAATACACTCTCCCCACCATCTACTTTGGGCAACATCCACAGTGACACCCATTGGTTCAAGTCCCTGGGTATTTCCAGTCAGCCGAAAATCAAACAACTAACTAAACCAAAAAAGACAAACTTACCGCTGTTGAGTCAATTTGACTCATAGCGACCCTCTTTGGGTTTCTGAGGTGGTATCTCTATGGAAGTAGATCACCCAACCTTCCTTCTGAGGAGTGGCTGGTGAGTTTTAACCGCTAGCCTTGTGGTTAGCAGTCAAATGTTTTGGGTACTACACCATCAGAGCTAAGTAACTAGGGATGTTCATTTTGTTCATTTATGGTACAGGCAGTCCCCAGATTACAAATGAGTTCTGTTTCAAAGTCTATCTTCAGTCACATTTTTTTAAGTGAGAACAGTTAGGTATGGTTCATATCTAATGCTGTCAGTCAGATGTTTGTCTTAGTGTAGAATGTACTTTTCTATGCATAAAAAACATTAAAGAAACACCTCTAAGTACTAAAAACATCTCTAACAACAATACAGTAATAATAATAATGTTTTAATGTACATTGAAAAGTATGGCTATTTGTTATTAAGAACTATTGTATATACCTTGAATTTTTAATGTAAGAGGCACTGGGGGTTGGTTTGTAACTACAGGTTGTATGTAAGTCAGACATTTGTAAACTGGGGACTGTTTATACTGATGATTTATGCCCTGTCGATTTCCAAAAAGGATTATATTCAAGTCTAAGATATGTTGAAAAATAACTATAATTATACTATGAAAAATGATATATGAAATAGCTTTATAATTTGCTTCAAATATTAATATAATTTCATAATTCTTCAGTTAAAATTGTTAACCCATCATGAGGTGTTAAAAGAGTATTTGGGAGGTATGTTGTCTGCACAATTACTGAAGGAAGGGGTAAGGAATGGGAACACGAACAGCAGTGACTGCCAACACTACCCAGGTATAGGGAGAGTCCTGGAGGAGGGCACCCGGGTTTAATGACCTGCGTTTTAATTCAGGTTTCATTGTTTATGAGAGATATGACCTTGATCAGTTAGATTAACTTCTCAACCCTCAATTCCCACATTTATAAGCAAGAAAGATTAGCAGTAACACTGGCATTGTCTGGGCAATGAGTCATTATCAAGCTTCCCAAGTTCTGCAGGTATCATGCTGCTGGTCTTCCCCTTCCCAGTAGGTAACCGGAGTAAGCTAACCCAGTGGGATGTTGGATTTTTCCCCTCAAAGAGCAAACTATCCAATTCTTGAAATATTTGTTAGAACAGTTCTCTTTTCTTTCATCTTTTAGAAAGGTATACTGGCTTTCTAGGCCCCACCATCCCAAATCACTACCACAAGGTTTCAGTGTATTTTCTGTCTTCTGAACAAAATAATGATGCCCCTGTGTGGTAAAACCAGTTAAGTGCTTCACCTTCTAACAGAAAAAATGGCAGTTTGAACCCACCCAGAGGCACCTCAGAAGAAAGGGCTTGCAATGTGCTTCTGAAAATCTTATGGAGCACACTTCTACTCTGCTCTTGGGGTCACCATGAGTCTGAATTGATTCAAAAGCACTTGGTTTTTAAACAAAAATGACATCATTCATGTTGTTGTTGTTGTTATGTGCCGTCGAGTCAGCCCTGACTCATAGAGACCCCTCCTTGGGTTTCCGAGGCAGTATCACTACGGAAGTAGGATTGCCCAACCTTCCTTCCGAGGAGTGGCTGGTGGGTTTGAACCGCCAGCCTTCTGGTTAGCAGTCAAGTGCCTTAGCCACTATGCTACCAGAGCTCCTTAGTATATACAAATAACTAACAGGAACCACTCAAAGAGGCCAATCACAAGCCTGTGCTGTCTCAGGGTATCTGAAGCATGGAAACCCCATGGTCTCCATGGGATTCCATCAGTGCTTTTGTCACTTCAAATCCTAACGAAAATAACATGCAAAAAAACTTTATTGCTTAAATGGAATTTAGGAATCATCCCAACTCTTCATTTTTAAAGATTAAAAAACTAAGACCTAGACAGGTTATATTACTTGACTATTTGCCCACGTTAAGAAGCTACTTGGCCCTAATTAACTTAGTCAATATGTATTAACTGCCCACTATACGTAACGCAAAAACCAACCCATTGCTATCAAGTCAATTCTGACTCATAGTGACCCTATAGGACTGAGGAGAACCGCCCCATAAGGTTTCCAAGACTATAATCTTTCTGAAAGATGACTGCCTCATCTTTCTCCCATAGAGCAGCTGGTGGGTTCAAACTGCTGACTTTTTGGTTAGTAGCTAAGCAATTAACCATTATCCCACCAGGACTTTGTAGCAATGGGTTGGGCACCTATTAACTCATATATATAATGAAGGAATAATTTTAAACCATAATCTTTTATTCAACAATATCCAGAAGCTTCCCTTTTTATATATTTGCCATCAGTTAGGTTATCAATCACTAAAGTATACTATTAATTTTACTAAAACACATATGGTTTCTTTCATGGGTAAATCCTAGAATGAATAAGGGGAAATCTCAGAATCATTTCATTTACTGACAAAGCCTATTAGTAGTTCCAAACTGTGTTAGACATGATTAAAGAATTGGTATTCAAGCTAATGTTCTTCAAGTCTCTTTTAATTAGACTGCAGACCATTTTCTGAGGACACTCTGCTCCTGTTGTCATTATGATTCCATGGCAGCCAGATGATAAATCTCTTGGGAATGCAAATATCAGCCTGGCAAAGTAAGCTTCAGGAGCCTCATGACAATCTTCCTAGCAAAGGGCACTGGTGGAGAAGGCCAGGCACAAACCCCCAGGTGGTATCTGGGAAGAAGACACTTACTTTTTGTATTTCTCTAGCCAGACAGCACTGTCTGTTAGAAGACAGAAGTTCTCAGTGACCAGGAGGTCCAGCAGACTGTCATGGTCAGCCTCTGCATACAGCTTGAGCAAAGCTGTGTCAATGTCTTCTTTGTAGCCATTTGCTACCTCTGTGCTGCGGACTTCATTCAAGTAGCTCATGAGGAACCGTTTACACTGGGCCATCTTCTCCTGGTCCCCCTGGGTCAGCTGGTTCAGGTCTGCATACTCATGAAGAGGAGGGTGAGACCGTGTGAATGAAGAGGAGGTAGGCAACAGGAAGGGGTAGAGAGAGATCAGCTCCCGGACATCAAGCTGGCCGCTTCTGCAATTACAGTGTCAAACTAAATGAAGCAAAAAAGAGAGAAAGAGTACACATAGGCACACAAAACAACACTGGAGGGTGTGCACATATGCACACTTTAATGGTGAGCTGGATCTCTGGGCAAGTACATCAATGTGACCATCTTAGTTTGCAAGTGCAGTAAAGCACTATTAACCATGTACCACCATCTGATCCCAAGACAAAGCAGAGGAGACTAGAGTGAAAGACGTGCACACAAGGCTACAGAAGTGGAGTAGCAAAACAACTAATAAGAGTTGATCATCAGATTTAGCACTGGACTCCCAGGAAACCACGGGGGAAGAAAAAAAAAAAACACAAAGGATAATACACCATCATCTTCAGACAAAAGGCAGCATTATAGTCCTGAAACCACCTCACACTAAATTATAAATAGATTTGTTGAAATTTCCATAAATAAGAGATTTTAAAAGAACGTAACTTATAATTTCCTCACTGATGATCTTACAATAAGATACAGAAGCATCCATGCGGCCATTTTTGTAGTGACTCTCAATACAATTTCAGAGCATAACATTAGAATACAACTCAGATGACCAGCCTAAGTATCCTAATCTCATAAAGTATCTAGTGATGTTTCCATCTCAAATTCATCATTATTCCCTTTCTTCCTTCCCCCACTCAAGCCTATTCTTCCTGTCTATAACAATAACAGTTAATGGCATCATCTAGCCATGATTCTCAACCCTGGCCAAGTTAAAGACCCAACTGGGGCAACTGTTGAGGTAACAGATGTAGGCTCCACCTCAGAAACTCTGAGTGGGGGTCTAGGGGTTAGGCCTGAAATCTATACTTCCCACACATTCACTTGCATCTGCCTTAGTTCAAGCTTATCACCTCTCTTCCATTCTACTGCAGATGCCTCCTAGGTGGCTTCCTGCCTCTGGTCTCTCTTCCTTCTACTCCAGTCTTTATATCCTCACCCTTTCCTGACCTTCAGAGGTTCTAAACTATCCACAGAATAAATTTCAAACCCATGGCATTCAAAGCCTTTCCTAATCTGATCTCAAACTACCTTACTTCAGTTCCAACCATTCCCTCCCATACATCCAACATGTTAACCATACCTTATGACTCTGCCAATGTATATATCTCATGCCTCTTAGCCTTTGCTACTGCTGTTCACTTTGCCTAAAGCAGTGGTTTTCAATGGGGAACAATCTTGCTCCTGGGGGACATCTGGCAACACCTGGAGACAATTATGATGGTCATGACTGAGGAGTGCTACTGGCATCTATGGGTAGAGACAGGGATGCTCTAAACATCCTACAGTGCACAGCATAACTCTCATAACAAAGTATTATCTAACCAAGAATATCCAGAGTGTTGCAGTTGAGAAACCACAGCCAATGGTATGATTCCCTACTGGGGAAATGTCTATTTATCATTTAAGATCCAAGATGAAGCCTGTGTAGGAAGATTCCTCCACTGGCAGAACTAACCCAATGCTCTACAATGCTTCCACGGCAGCCTACCTATACTGTAGAGAAGCATCTATGCTGTACAGCTGTTAGCTATCTTTCCCAAACTAGTATTTGCACATCATAAAAGGAGGGGCACTATTTTACCCTTATATCCCTAGCACTGATGCTTAGGCAAATTGCAAAATGAAGGAAGTGCTGAACCTAGCTGAATATAAGGGGAGGTTATAATACCTAGAGGCATAGACACATGGCATATGTCCCTATGACACAGATGGCAAATAGGTTTCATCTTAGGTACCAACAATGATTAGTTAAAAGTTATGGCCTATAGCACCACGTTGAGAAAGATTCTAAGGATGAGTCCCAGCTCAGTGAGAAAAGACAGCATGATGTGATAGCAATGTTTGTCATGAGCATAGGAAGGGGAAGCTGAATCATCCTTGTCTTAGGATTTCCTTCAAATACTAATTTCCTCAATCATACTTTTGACAAAAGCCAAACAGCACTCATGAAGAGGCTGAAGTATACAAAGCATTAATGACTGGCAGGTCCTGTGTTTACTGTCTTACAAAAACAGAGAACATTTCTAGGAATGGTGTCTGTGCACCCATGGCCATTTACCTCTTCTTTCTAATACCTGAGAAAAAGAAAACGTATTGGGGTACACCCATTACCCGAGTGAGAGTGTCTTTAACATTGCAGGGAAAAAGCAAGGTCTTACAGAAAAAGAGCTTAAGTTCAAAAGGGAAAAAAATCTATTTAAACACAAAGTTACTGATATTTCTAAGAACATCTAATAATGGCACAGAGATTTTGCAGTGAACAGCAATGGGTTTTAAAAGTTATATAGGATATGATTACTCAATGAGTGATTCATTATTTACTCAAAAGTCTGTGTACATACAATTTTGTCAAAGAAAAAGATATTGGAGTCACATGCTTGGAACATAATGCAAACATCTTACACAAGGAAAGTGGGCAGCAGGCTACAGAAAGGTGTTCTGCTCACGTTTTTACTTTCTAGAAGTGATCTATTCCAAGATTTCATACACATCTTTTTTGGATGGTTCCAAATTGCACAGAATCTATTCTAGTGAGACATTTGGAAAACGTATTTTACAGGCAATGCTTTAGTAGGATATTTAAGGACTATTCTAGGAGGTTTAACTTAATCTTCTCCAAGGAATGATGAGTAAGCATGTATGCAGCTACTGCCTAACTGGGCACATAAGCCCAAGAAGAAAGAGCAACAGGAGAAGCAGGATATGATAGCAAGGAATGTGTGGGAAGCAAGCGGGCTTCACTTTTCTACAGCTGCCCTTCCCGGGATAGAAAGGGAGGGAGGGGGAGGAAAAGGAAAAGGGAGAGGAAGAGAGAACCACTGTAAGGGCTACCTACTGATACAGGATTAATTAGCACGTCAGAAGGGACCTCCATAAGAGAAAGTCAATTTCATAAGAGAGCTAACCAGGAATAGACCATTTACAAAGTATTTTAAAAGAGAAGAAAAGTTTTCATAGGTGTCTCAGTAAGACCTTGATCTTTTTCTAAACTCAGTTCTTCTTAAATCTCTAGAGAAAAGGAAGAGCAAACAAACAGTATCTTTTTATCAAATTCTCTCTTTAGATTTCTCTTCTCCTGGCTCAACAGTCTTGATGCCCTCAACCTCTCTTCACAGAACTCTTGCGTACAGTGGCCTTTAAGAGCCTGCTACCTCCTTTAAAACAGCGTGTTAAACTAAGGTTACAGGTAAGGAGGAAAAGTAGAGCAACTACCAATAGTAGCATTTGTTATTTATAAACAATTTCTATCTGCAACAAAGAAACATTATTCCACTACAGCATCCCATTTGAAATACAAGTTTTGGCCATAGAGAGTACATCATATCCATGTGTAAAGTAGGGACATTGTAATCAAAGTCTTGCTACCAACACCTCAAATTACCTGAAGAGTTCTTTAGCTTCCAAGAACTGAAGTTGTGCAAATTGTATAAATCCCGCCTGCTGTAGAATCCTTCTGTACATTACCTGCAAAGACAGGTTTAATTTCTCAGAGGCCTTAAAACCATCACAGGAGGGGAAAAATAAAATTTTAATTCATATCCCAAGCCAAATGTTAATCACCACACAGAAATTTGAAATTAGAAGTTGAAGTGAGAAAAAACCAAAGCATATATAAAATCACTTACATATGTTTATACCAAAAACTCACTGCCATCAAGTCGCTTCCGACTCATAGTGACACACTATGGGTTTCCAAGGCCGTAAATCTTTATGGAAGCGGACTGCCCCATCTTTCTTCATGGAGCAGCTGGTGGGTTTGAAACACTGACCTTCAGGTTAGCAGCCAAATGCCTTAACCACTATACTACCAGAGTTCCTTTACATACATTTATATACAAATAATTAAAAGTAATACATATTTAATCAACCCCTCAGTCTTGAAACAAAGCTGTTCTTTATTGAATACTTCCTTCACCTTCTTCATGGGTTTGTTTTCATAAATCCCCAATTCCTCCCAAATGCACTTCTTTCAATTCTCCTCATTAATCCACAGAGCTTCAATGACTGCCTCTACTTCAGACTGCTCAGATGTACACTGACAACTGCAGTGTTGCTGGCAATCCAGAAGCTGCTCATCCTTCTGCTACTCTTCTGGAATTGACACTTTACAGCAGCACTTCTCAAAAGATATTCCTCAAGCACTAGGCTTATCCCACTGAACGAATGAACAAACACATGGCTCTCCTGGTCACTCTGGGCAAATGCTGTATATCTCCTCCTTGATGATATACCACACTAACACATTGAAGACTGAGAACTCCTACAATAAATGTACCATTTTATCTTTGTTTAATTTGGTATCACCCAAATCTCCTTGACCACAGAACCCCTTTGTTCTTTTTGTTGTTGTTGTTATAGCTCTAACCAAAACCAAACCAACTCACCATCATCGAGTCGGATCTGACACATAGTGATAGAGATACCTCCTTGGGCTTCCGAGGTGCTATCACTACAGAAGTAGATTGCCCAATATTTCTTCTGAGAGGGGCTGGTGGATTTGAACTGCCAGTCTTCTGGTTAGCAGTCAAATGCCTTAGATACTTATTTTTTCTAACTGTGGTGAAAACATATGCACCAAAACCTTTACCAACAAAACTTCCACATTTACAATCCAAAGATATTGATTACATTTTTCACATTGTACACCATTATTGCTATCTTCTTCCAAAACACTCCACTACCATTACATAAATGTAATGTCTCCCAAACAAAAATGCCCCCTCCTTCCCTTTTCCCTCCCACCTGTAGTAACCAATAATAATCTTTGGTTTCTATATATTTCCTTATTTCATATAAGTGAGATCATTGTGAGGATGGCACAGGACCAGGCAGCATTTTATTGTGTTGTACACAGTGCCACTATGAGTTGGAACTGACTTCACAGCACCTAACAACAACATATATGTGAGTTCATACAGTATTTGTCCTTTTGCAATTGGCTTATTTTGCTCAGTATAACATTTTCAAAGTTCATACGTGTTGTGGCACATATCAGGACTTCATTTCTCTTTATGGCTAAGTAATATTCCATTGTATGTATATATTGAAGAGCCCTGGTGGTGCAGCAGTTAAGTACTTAGGTACTAACCGAAAGATTGGCAGTTCAAACCCATCAGCCACTCTACAAGAAAGAGATGTGGTAGTCTGCTTCCATAAAGATTATAGCCCAGGAAATCCTAGGGCAGTTCTACTCTGTCCTACAGGGTTGTTATGAGTTGGAACCAAACTTGATGACAACAGGTATGGATATACACAGTAAAACCCACGAAAACTGGAACCTGAGTAAGGCTGAAACCTATCAGACAGAAAAACTCAATTATTTTCCATAATAGAGAGTGATTAAAAAAAAAAGTGTTGTGGTAGTTAAGGTTATGTGTCACCTTGGCTGGGCCTGGTTTTGAGTGGGTGGGCAGCTGGATGTACTTATTCCCCATGGTGAGAGTGGTAATTAACTCCATGGTAGAATCTACTGGAACAGCTGAGTAGCTGCTTTACAGATGTGAGCTGCTTCCAGTATGTAAGAAGGAACTTTGAGGAAGATCTCCATCTTTTTGGCACACTTGAACCCTGCATGTAGCCAACTTGTTGTTCAGCAGCCTGCCATGCCCTGCTGATGTTGAGACTCTTTCTGGACTTGAATTAGCGGCCTTCTGTGTTGTTTGGTAGTATCAGGACTGTGCCTTTTTACTTGTCAACCTTGGGTTTGTCTGCCTCAGCAGCCAGCAGCTGCCTGAGTGAAGAAAAGCCTCCAGCTTCAGTGGGCCGTGAGCAAAAGGCAGAGCTGAAGCCCAAGGTTGAGGGCTTGGGCCAGCTCCTAGAATCCCACACTTTGAACTCAGACTTCTAGCCTCCAAAATTGTAAGAGAATAAATCCCTGTTTGTTCAAGCCACCCATTATTTGTGGTATACTTTCTGTTAGAGCACCACCAAGTAACCAAAACAAGTGTTAAGATAGCACTCATCAAAGGTGGGAAATTTGTGAGAACTCAGGAAAACAAGGGAGTCCTGTCGAGTTCCAGCTCTCAAAGTTTTCACTGTACTATGTTTTATGTATTCATTCATCTGTTGAAGAACATTTTGGTTGTTTCCACCTTTTGACTACTATGAAAAGTGCTGCAATGAACATGGGTGTACTCTTCTGTTCTAGCAACATCTAGGAATGGCAAACACACTTTACAAGGTGGTCTTGGAGAATCTTTAACTCCATTCCTTCCTTGTCACTGTTCAAGTCATTCAGTTTTTGAGTTTTATCCATTCTTTTTTGAAATACCCTTTAAGCACATCTCTGTGCTCCATTCTTGCTATTTGTATCACTACAGCCCAGGCCCTCATCACCTCACAATTAAAGACTCTGTTTTAATTACTCACTCTGACTTCAACATCTCCTCATCCCAGTTCACCATGCGGTGTTATAAGCCACAAATTCCTCGAAGACAAGGCACATATTTTTCATCTTACTATCCTCACACCTCTAACATTTAGTAAGTGCTTATTGATCTGAAGGACTATCTGATAAATTTTCATAAAACTCCACTTGCCTTGTCACTCACTCACTATTCCCATTTTACAATTAGGAAAATTCTGCTTAGAAATGTTAAGCTTTTAGCCCAAAATTACTAAAGTAATAAGTGTCAAGTTGGGCCAGGATTTCAAACTAGATCTTTCTGATTCTAGAGCCCAATTCTTCCCACTCACTGATTCATCCAGGTACACAGCAGGCAGTTAGTATTGTTACCCACTGAAGTAATGAGAGAAGTAAAGAAAGTTGGTACCTAAAGTCTACCAATCCTGTTCTCTCAAATTTGCTTTAAGGGGGGTGTTCACTATACTTTTGAAGAGCTCTCAAAAGTATAGCAACTGTCCCCTCCCACAGAAGTTCCTTTAGAGATGTCAGAAAAAGCAGACTTGTAAAACCTTTCATTTCTTGTCTCATCTCCTGCCTTTGCTTTTCTTTCCAGAAACCACCTATTTCTGACCTAAAGATCCAGCCTAATTATAACCAGAAAACCAGACGTTGTCAAGTCGATGCTGACTCATAGTGGCCCCATGTGTATCAGAGTAGGCTTAAGTGTATCCCCTAACAATAAGCAGAGTGCCATGGGCCAAAGTCCTATTGCCCAAGAACGCCAGCTCCATTTCTGAAAGTAGCAATAACAAAGGCCTTCCACTTAGCAAAAAGGTTAAATAGGACCAACTGGCTGTGGTAGAAGATTCTTGATCACACCCAGGGTTGCTGAAGAAAAATCAACTCAAGAACAGTTTATTCCTCATGGTTGCAGGACTCAAATGTCACCTCCTCTTCTCCTCCTTGAAGGTAAATAAAAATTACTTTTGCTAACATACTAAATCTCTAAAAATGTAGAGCTTATTTTCCATATTCTAGTTTGCGAATGTTATATGGACTTGGAAGAAGCATATAAGTAGATCCTCTCTTCCTGGATATGAATACCACAGATACTGTAACCATCAGTAACAGAGAAAACCCAAGCTAATTGACTGTTACCTAAAAATTGCCAATTAGAAACTTTACCAAGCACAGTCAATCTTGGTTTTCTGAAGGTGACTGTGTACTTTCCAGATTATCTACTAGGACTTGACACCTTCTCCTGCTCTCTGCTCAGCTGATGTTGAACAACAACAACACCTAAGCCAAGTAGGCTCACAGGAAAGATGGATGACTAGATGGATAACAAGAATGATGACTAGAAGGGAAGGACAGAGAACAAGAAAACCTGTTTATTTTCCTAATATCAGAGCTAATTCAATAACGGAATTTTTAACTTTCTTTTCTCAGGACCAGTTCTTACTTCAATATAAGGCAGCTCTCATAGTAGACCTCTAAGTTGTTGTTATTGTTAGTTGCTGTCAAGTCAACTCATGGCAACCCCATGTACAACGTAACGAAATGTTGCCCGGCCCTTACTCATCCTCACAATTGTTGGTTTGCCTGAGCCTACTATTGCCACCACTGCATAGTTCCTTCCAACCTAGGGGGCTCACCTTCCAGCACCACATTGGACAATATTCTGTAGACATCTAAGAAGTGATGCTCAATATCTAATATTGATGTGGCTGCACAAAGGCTGGGGGCCCAATAGCTTAAGGCAGGCTTAAAATATCATGTGTGTTCTGAGAGCAAGTTGAAACTAAACTCAAATCCCTATTGTTAGTACTGTATTTCTGAATTGAGATTTATACTTTTTGTCATCTGAGGAATTTAAAGTTTTGTGAAACAAGAGTCTAATCTAAAGATTTCTAAACCTACTTTCAAGTGTACATTGTCCAAGTAAAATCTATCATACAAGGGCTTCTGGAGAGAACAGTTCATCCCGACACTAAACCCAAAGTACATAGAGCTTGTTGTATTGCCCTCCCCAATGTGTACGGCCTAAAGATATATAAGCTTTTCCAACTAGATTTTCTTTCCTTTTAAGCCTTGATAGTAGCCAAAGGCTTTTTTATTTCTGTGAGCTGAGCTGGTTTAGGCTATGGTTAAAGTTCTGCAGTCAGAATGTTTGGATTTGAGTTCTCACTCTGCCAATTATTAGCCATATGACCTTGGACTCCCTCTATACTTGTATTTGCATGTTTTAAAGGGAATCATAACAGTACCTACCTCACAGTGTTGTTGTGATTAGAGAGCTAAGTCACATACAAGCTTTATAACAGTATCTGGCACATAGTAAGCACTCAGTAATTGCTGGCTCACTCCTTAGTCTAAGCTTGTAGCTTCCATTTCTAACTCATGCCAGTATTTAACTATGCCCACTAGTGCCTAAGGCATTTGACTGCTAACCAGGATGCTAGTAGTTCAAACCTACCAGCCACTCTTTGGATGGAAGACTGGGCAATTTACTTCCATAGAGATCCAAACCAAAAAACACACTGCCATGGAGTCGGATCCGACTCATCGCAACCCCCCCCTTGGGTTTCCGAGGCGGTATCACTACGGAAGTAGATTGCCCAACCCTTCCTTCCGAGGAATGGCTGGTGGGTACTGCCTCAGAAACCCAAGGAGGGGTCGCTATGAGTTGGATCTAACTGGATGGCAGTGAATTTTTTTTTTTTCTACTATCCCTTTAAGTTTGATTCTACCACATTTATGTAGTAGGAAGAGGGGAAAGTATGAAATCCTTTTCTGACAAAAGTAAATTAGTAAGTGTATTTTAAAACTTTTCTACAACTAGAAAAAACCAATGGTAGTAAACTTTCACCCAAATCACAGTAAAAAGTTAAGTAAATAAGTAAATAAAATTAGATCCATAGAAAGAAGAAATAAATTCCAGTTGGGATGGAAAGACCTAAAAGTGAAATAACTCTAAAACTTCTAGAAGAAAATTTAGAATAGGAAAAACTTCATTAGATATTATTTTTTTAAATTTTTTATTTATGTTTTTAAAAGGTAGTGACTTTTTTAAAGGTTGTAATAACCACACAATGGCAGCACAGATAAAATAAATGATGGGAGCTTTCACTGAAGACAGGAGCCTAGTTCCTAGAAGGCTGTGTCTCAGATGGCTACAACTTCTCAGACACTGAATTAAATACAAAATGTTGGAGTTAGGATAAGAAATGAAATAAGGCTACTTACTGTAACCGAGAAAAACCCTATTTTCTTTAAAGTCTGTAGGAATCTGGTAGGTCAAATTTCAACTCAGACGAAAATATATTTCATAGCTAAGGACCTCTGGTGGCATAGTGCCTAACACATCTGACTGTTAACCAGAAGGCTATCAGTTCAAACCTGCCAGCCACTCTGCAGAAGAAAAACTGGGCAATCTACTTCCGTAAAGATTTACTGCCTCGGAAACCCAAAGGGGGTTGCTATGAGTTGGAATCAACTGGATGGCAGTAAGTTTGGTTTTGTTTTTGGTATAACAAAAGTACACTCACTCTTCACTTATCAACATGGTTAGGTCCCAAAGACCAGGCTGTTATGCAAAATTAGCATCATGCATGGAGGAGAAGGACATGGAGTTGGACCTAGAGCTCAGACCTTCAGAGCTGGTGTGATCCTGGCACCACTGTGCTTTAGACCCCAAGCCTCTGCTCTCAGGGCTGGCACTAGAGCAGACCTGGGCCCTGAGATTGCACTAGAGGTACAGTTGGTAATTCTGAGAGTTGGGCAAGTGGCAGGACCAGGAATCAAGATGGTTGGTAGGGGTTGCTGCCTTGTTCATGGCTGCTGCAGCTGCCCTCTCCACAGCCCCAGCTGCCCAGCAGGCTAGGGTGGACCCCATGGAAATGAGCAACACGCGGTCTTGAAGGGCTTAGTATTCACAACTAAGAGCCTGGAGAATAACCAGATGCTCATAAGAGATCAGCAGCCTGGACCAAGAAGGGGACAGCCAGCTACTGCTACAGACTCTAGGCCCTGAATTACCCCCAGTACCCTTCCTGCTATAGGACTTGGTCCCTCCAGGGCACCTGAGTAGAGGCGAACAGCAACAGCAACCTACCTCGCCCTCACCTCCTCCCGGATCCCTCTGGCCCTTCTTGGAAGGGCTCCCTCAAAACCACCTCAGTTGCCTCTTTCACTAAAAAAGCTGCAATGGTGGCACCAGTGGTGGGGATGGCACTGGCAAGAGGCCTTCTGGAGAGCTGGCTGCTTCTCCTGTGAGCCTGGCAGATGCAGGTGGCTCTGTGCACTGGGAGCAAACGGGGGAGGAAACCCAGAATATTGTGCAAAAGACTCGGATAGCTTTTTCACTATTGTAAATGCAAAATGTCAGATAATGAGATAGTCGGTAAGTGAGGACTAAGTGTATATGAAAGAAGATGGCAATCACAACCAAATGAGTATCTAAAATTACCTGTCAGAATTGACTCTGCAGCACACAACACCAACAGTGTAATGGCATTGTGATTATGTTAAAAAGGGGGCCTCTCGATCTTTTAGAGATATACATCTTCTCCTCACTTATTGACTACCTCGTTATTCAACAATTTGCATTTACAACAACAGTAAAAAAATCTATTATCTGACTATTTTGTTATTAACAACATATGCCTATTAATGAACACCAATGGGAAAGATGAGACACAGGCTGTGATGGTTAAGGTTATGCATCATCTTGGCTGGGCCATGATTCTCAGTGATTTAGGTAATGACCTCATTCTCCATTTTATGATCTGATGTGGTAATCCCATATACCATATACTTAAAGGATGCCACAAGGGGCACTCTAGTGATAACAACTATGAAAGCATTAGTGTGACCCTTTGTAAACATTCAACACTTTGTTCCCGGGGCCTCCTCAGTGAGTGCTGCCATCATCTTCACTTCACTGGAGAGAAAAGGAACTAACAGCAAGCGCAGCAGATGCAGGGCTCAGACCTAGGCATTCTGACTTAGGCATCCTCCTTGCCCCAGCAGTGTTAAGTAAAATAATACATAGGTAAATGCTCAGCATGGCAATATGGCCGGCACAAATAGTAGCTTTCTTCTTTTTGCTTTTGCTGCCCCCTGCTGAATATAAAGTATCAGTCTTACATACAACTGAATGAAAAAAAAACAAAAACAAACCCATTGTCATCAATTCTGACTCATAGCAACCCTTTAGGAGAGAGCAGAACTCTCCACAGAGAGCAGAACTGTTTCCACAGCTGTAATCTCTACAGAAGCAGACCATCACATGTTTTTCCAGCACAGAAGCTAGCAGGTTTGAACCACTGACCTTTGAGTTCCCAGCCAAGCACTTAACTAGTGCACTACCAAGGCTCTTCAAGGAATGAAGTTTATCAACATTTTAATGCAAAAAAAGATGTTCTCTTTCACATCCCACGATCATAAATTATGTATCTTGTCTATTCTTACTTTCAGAATTTAACCTTTGCTGCATAAAGCAACTGAGGCCAAAAAAGCCACATTTCATTCCACAACAATCATATAGTCAAGGGTAAAATCGCACCAACTCATAATAATCAAGGGAGTTATTATTCCTTCACAAGAACTTTTAATTATTTAGATACTTATATAAAGTACACAGACATCAATACTATATATACAATATGTATAGAGTAGGAGCTCTGGTAGCATAGTGCCTAAGGCACTTCACTGCTAACCAGAAGGCTGGCGGTTCAAACCCACCAGCCACTCCTCAGAAGGAAGATGGGGCAATCTACTTCCACGGTGATACTGCCTCGGGAACCCAAGGAGGGGTCGCTATGAGTCAGGTCCGACTCCACGGCACATAACAACAACAACAATGTATACAGTAACCTGAACTAATCTAACAACTGATCAAGTAACCATGTTTAGGAAGCTAATTTCATCTCAGACAAAAGAATAATTTGTTACTATTACATCAATTATATTTATCATAAAAATTATATTTAAAGTTAGGGTTTCTTAAGTGTATTAAAAACTCTCTACTAAGCAAATTAATTAGAAGGGTTCCTGTAACATTCGATATTTTATCAATATGGTTAGGAAAATTTTTCGTGTAAATAAGGCTAAACTTGTATTTAACCTCATCCCAAGAAATACAAATTCTAAGTTAAGAGACAAATTAGCCTGATTGCTCTCTTTTGGTTTACAAGGACTATGCCCTTGATTCTTCTATGAATATACACTGAAAAGGAAAACTGATGAGAAATAAAATCCAGTACATCAAACACTGGAATTAAGTCAGGGGTTCAAACCTGACTTCTCCACTTGTTGCACAATATTAGTTAAGCTCTCTGACTGCTCTGAGACCTGTTGCCTTATCTGTAGAGTGTGAATAATACTACTACTTCAGAGTGGCTGCAAAAATTAAACAACAGATACAAAAGCAATCAGCAGGCCTGGCACATTGGGAGGGCAAGACACATGCTAACTAAATCCAAATTTTTCTAACTGATGGCTTGGAAGCATACTCATGTGACCAGTTCATCACAAACCTGAAATTTATCTTTTGGAATGTTCCTTCGGGCTCCTTTTGCTAAAACCAATGCCTCTTCCACTCTATGACTTGCCAAAAGATCCTGTATTTGTTTTTCCAGAGGTAACGGAACCAAGATGTAAACTCCTTTACTTGTGGCGACAATCACTCTTCCTGTGAAGAAATTCAAAATTGTTGGAAAACAAAACAAAAACAAAAACATATTGCCTACAAGAAAACATATTGCTTCCCCTAAAATTAATAATTACTGATTTGTTGATCAGTTTCACCAGTTTTCTCAACACAGAATTTCCACAGAAATTATAACTTATAACGCTTCTTTCTTCCTCTTTTCATATTCTCAACTGTCAAAAAAGGGCTAGCTCTTAAAACTGCTATTTCTAAAGTATAAAATATGCTTTTTGGCCTTCTTTTCTCCAGAAAATGCTGGTAAATCAGACACATAATCTATATCCCAATAAGGTTACAGACTTCAATCACAGAAAACCATCAGTAAGCTAATTACGATACATATCATTCAAGATTGTTTAAAAATTATTTTCCCTCCATGTTAGTTAGTTTACATAAAACTAAGCTTATATTGCAATATTGTAAACCCTTCAATAATAACATTTCATACTCACCATCTAAATACATCCAAATCTTAGAGTTAAAATTTATTCATTTCCCAATAATCTTCTACGTTAATCTGGTCCATGGCTAATGCTGCCATGTTCATTTTATGCACAAAATCTTCCACAGATAGTCCACAGATCAGACTACAAATTACAATCCAAGACTAGCTCTACTGCTAAGCTTTTCAATCAAATCCTGCTCCCTTCTGGAGAAACTTTTTCAACTAAGCATTACTTTTTCATAGAAAGAAATTTTTTAACTAAAACCCTTAAATAGCAAATGCAATGCATCCACCTAGATTACATCCTCGTCTGAAGGATAATTCACACTGTTCATCAAGTCTTTCCCACTCTCTTCCATTTTTCTCTCTCTGAACCATTGTTTCCACTCTAGTCCCACTGCCTAGGTCAATCTAAGCTCACATTTTTTTTCCTGCCTGGATAACCACTGTATTGTCTTTACTGGTCTTCCTGTTCCAGTCTCTTGTCTAGACAATTTATCTTCCATATCACAACCAAAGTAATTTTTCTAATACTCAAATAAGGTTCTACCCTTCCCCTGTGCTGATGTCACCTTTTCCAGGAAGCCTTCGTTGTTCCCACCTAGGATGGGTTATGTCATCCTCCTCTGCGTATCCACAATACCCTGTGTCCAACTCCACCACTCAATATGAACAGCATCATACACTATTATATATATATTATTGTAATAAATGTTCCAGTTTCCCCGACTGGAATCTGATCCATTTAATGGTAGGGACTATGAATCTTACGTTTATAACCCCAGCATCTAAAACAATGCCTTACACAGGGAGGGTAATGCTTAACTAAAATCCTTAAATAGCAAATGTTATACATAAAATCTAGACTTTATCCTGGTTTGAAAAAAAGTAGCAATAAAAGGCTTTAGGGAAACCAAGGAAATTTTAATATAGGCAGGATATTAGATGATACTAGAATTAATGTTAGTATTCTTAGGTGTGAAAATGGTATTGTTACTATATAGGAAAATGCCCTTAATCTTAGGAGATGCATGCTGAAGTATTTCATGATTACATGTCATGATGTCTTCAACTCACTTTCAAATGGTTCAGCAAAATGTTAATAATTGTTCAATCTATTTTCTCCCAACTTTTCTGTATATTTGAAAATGTTTATTATAAAACTGAAGAAAAGTAAAGTAAAGCTCTTACCTTGCTTATTAATGCTTGCAGGATGACTGCCCTGATCTGCTCACCAGTCTCATCTCACCCACTCCTCCACAAACGAGTGCTACACTACAACATTTTATTGCATATGTGGTTTGAAGTCCAGGTTTCCCTCTTTGCATGAATCTTTCTTGATGCCTGAAGATTCTTTCATACCATATCTGCTTGGCTAACTCCTAACTCTGCCTTAAAGGTTTGGCTCAAATACCACCTCCTTCAGGAAGTCTTCCCTGCTATCTTTAGGAAGTACTTCCTTCTCTGCTCTCCTAATAGGCCCTATTCACATCTCTACCAAGCTCTTTAACTGCTGTAGTTATTTGTTTAAATGGCTGTCTCCCCATTAACCTTGGAGCCACTGAAGCATATACACTGTATTACACTCATCTGTGCATCTTCCATGCTTAGCACAATGCCCAGTTCCTGCCGTTGTTGTATGCTGTCCAGTAGATTCTGACTCACAGCAACCCTATATGACAGGGTAGAATAGTCCCATGGGATAAAGGCTGTAATCTTTAGTGAAGCAGACTGTCAGGTCTTTTCTTCTACAGAGTCACTGGTGGGTTTGAACTGCCAACCTTTTGGTTGGCAGTCGAGAGCTTAACCACTCTACCACCAGGGCTCCTTGCCCAGTTCCTTAAGGTCTCTTAACATTTACTGAAGGAGTATAATCAAAAAAGGCTTGATAAATAAATTTTGTTACAAGGTCTATAAATTACTACCTTCAAAATCCTGTAGTATGTGGCCTTCCTTAAAAGGCAGAGTCTGCTTTTGCTGCTGATCCAACATGCTGTGAACTGTGATGAATTCATCATCTAGAGCTATGACATATGGAAAGCAAATGGCTGCCCCGATCACATTCTCTGACCAGTGCACCGGGGCACGCTGGGATATCCCAGCTACTGTTGCAAACATGCCTATAGAAATAAGAAGAAAGAGTTAGTTGAGACTTCAAATATCTATGATACTTTTTCTGTGGGTATATTTGGATGCAGAATACCACCCTCCCCAATTTCCCTGTATAGTTTTATATTCTAAGCAAGGAAGGATAATATAGTATGTTGCATGCATTATGATTTTTATTTTTGTGAAGAGAATTATCTTACCCAGAATTTATATTTTACATTTACTTGCAATTAAAACTGAGGTTAAAAAATTGTTTTTATATATACCCACTCGAAAGCTTATAAATCACATGTCTTCATATATGAGGAAAGGTTATTTAAACTAATTTAAGAATGTTCACATTTTCTTTCATTTCCAGTCCTCCAACTGGTTCCCACCTCTAAATTATAGTTCTTCCTTATATATTCATTCAACATATTTTTTTTGAGTACCTACTATGTGTCAGGACCCCTACTAGGTACACTATATGGAACTACCAATGGTCTGAGTTTGAGTCTAATTTTGGATATGCATGCTCTATAAAACAAGGATAGAACCATTTTGCAATTCAAGACAGTGTACCTATCATGTACTTGAAGAATTAAACATTCATTTTCAAATAAGCTCTATGTAGTCTACCAAAGACATTACCAATTATGGTGTGGGGGGAAGAAGGTGGGCAAAATTAAAATGTTCACTAAGTCATGTCAATCCACTTTAATGTAGATTGCCCAATCTTCGTTCCAAGGAGTAAGCTGGTGGGTTTAAACCACCAGCCTCTGGTTAGCAATCAAATGCCTTAGGCACTACACTACCAGAGCTCCCATTTAATAAGTAAGTACATACAAAAAGAAAACCTATAAATAATACACAAAGCAGCAAGTTAGGTACCAACAAATAAACTGAAACACCCTCAAAAAATGCATACATGGTGAAAGGGTTCCGTTAAATACATAAATAATTATTAAACATGAAATACAAATCAACAGCATAAGAAAGGTATAAAAATCGTTCTGAGTGTTGATGGGTGGTAAAACCCTGATCAAGGAGAAGGATCTGAAAACTCCACATGCGCAGAGACGATGACACTCTAGGTAAGGTTTTATCAGTAAGAAGCAGGAAAGGTAAATGTGTCTCAGTAATACTGAGCAGGCTCCCCAGACTGGGACAAATGGTGACTGGGGAGGAGAGAACTGGAAAGTTTAGGTAGGATGAGAGCAGGAAGAGCCTATCTTAGTTTGGCCTTAATTTGACAAGCAACAGGTTAATCTTGGAGTAGCATGATCACAGATCCTTTAGAAAGAGCAATCTGGCAGGAGTGTAGAGGATGCACAGAAGGTAGGAAAGAGAGGCTGCAGACACCCAGCTGGGGGGCCATGCAACTGTCTAGGAATGAGGCCTCAATCAGGACAAGAGCAAAGACAGAACAGGAAAAGGGGGTGTAATGATATTCTAGAGGTGAATCAAGAATTTAGCAGCTGATTTACTGGAAAGCAAGAGAAAGGATAAGTCAAGGACCTCCATGAGGCTTTTGGCCAGGTGGTTTGAGGAAGACTGGGCTGGCTTTTAAAAAAAAGAAACAAAAAAGCAATTAGGACACAAAACTGGTAAGGAGGCAAAGTTTGGGATTTACTGAACTGCAGGTCCCTGACTTCCAGCTGAGGGAAAAGCAGAGTTCAAATAAGGATCTCTGGAGGTGTTGTGATTAAAGTGTTGGTCTGCTAACCAAAAGGTCAGTGGTTTGAACCCATCAGTTGCTCCAAGGGAGAAAGATGAAGCACTCTCCGTCCATAAAAAGATTTACAGCCTTAGAAACCCTATGGAGGGGAAAATCATGAAAAAAAAAAGAAAGAAAGAAACTCTATGGGGCAGTTCTACTCTGTCCCATAGGGTCACTATGAGTTGGAACTGACTCGATGGTAGTGGGTTTGGGTTTTTTTTTTAATTTAACATTTAAATGCTTTCTCATAGATAATAGCAATCTTCCTGAAAGGGGAAGAATTAATTACTCAAGGAAGGACATAAAAAAGCACCCTCGTGGCACAGCGGTTAAGCACTCAGCTGCTAACCAAAAGGTTAGCAGTTTGAAGCCACCAGCCACTCCACAGTAGAAAGACGTGGCAGTCGGCTTCTGTAAAGATTACAGTCTTGGAAACCCTACCGTGTCCTATAAGGCCACTATGAGTCAGAATAGACTCAACAACATACCAGAACAGAACACAAGAAGACATAGTCAAATGCAAGATGAATCAAGAGAAAAATGTTTCTGCAGACCACAGTGGAAGAACTACTCCTGGAATTGGGGAGGGCCTTTTGTTTTCATTATTTTCTAAAACTGAAAGTTATGCAGATCAGATAAGAAATCAACAAGTTCAAAATGACAATACTGAAAAAAGACACTGAGATGACTAAGATCTAAAAGGTAAGAATGAATCACAAGGGCAGTCTGAGTCTGTTCCAGAAGTGGAACAACACACATTAACTGAAGGCATGGAGTCTGGCATTTCCAGTGTTTTATAATAACAGAAAGGAGCCCTGGTAGCAAAATGGTCAAGTGCTCAGGTGCTAACTGCAAGACTGGCAGTCAGAACCCACGCAGTGGCTCCACAGGAGAAAGACCTGGAGATCTGCTCTGGGCAGTATTACTCTGTCCCGTGGAGTCTCTGGAGGCAAGTAACAACAACAGCATAGCAACAGAAAAGACATAATTACAGTTGGAATTAACCCGGCAATAGTAACACCAAAGTATACAAAAAGCATTAAAAATGCCAAAGGAGAGAAACACTAGGTGCAAAGCTATGGACTGCATTAAGAATCTGAAAAGAGTACTGAGCTTTGGAGGAGGAAATTAGGTTAGCACTATCTTTAATTCTCAATGCATTTAGAAACAGCCAGCTAAAGAGAGCCAAAAGGAGAAAGAAAAGCAATTTAAGAGCAGTGAAGCTGTGTACATCATCTTCACCCAAACTGGTGAAGGGACAAGCCTAGAGTAATCTGAGGATTCTGCTGAATTTCAGGTCAAATAACCATGTTCTGCATATCACAACTTTCACGGTAATGTGGAAGCCTCATAGTGTGGCTCCAACAACCTTATAAAAAACTAAATCCACAGCCATTGAGTAGATTCCGACTCATAGCAACTCCCATTGGGTTTCTAGGGCAGTAAATCTTTATGGCAGCAGACTGCCCAGTTTTCTTTCTGCAGAGTGGCTGGTGGATTTGAACCACCAACCCTCTGATTAGCAGTAAGATGCCTTAGGCACTGTGCTACCAGAACTCCTTTGTTAAATCAGGGTCACTGCATTTACAGCTTAAAGCTGGACATCGCACCACCCTGGGAACTATGCAGTGCAGAGTCCTGAACATACATATATATATATATGTTCTTCAAATAATAAGTGTAGAAATCAGAGGTCAAGAACAAAGGCTTCCATACAAAAAGAAGAGCAGAAGATTTCACCAAAATAAAAGAGCAGAGAAGTAACTGGCAATTTGGGAGTTCAGGTCAAACAATAAAAAACACCTTAGATGTAGATCCACTTAGGAACAGAAGGTTCAGCACTATAAACCCACCTGAGAGCTACATTTGCCACACAGATTTAATTAGATTCTTGCTAAACCAAATCACTGCCATGAAGTCAGTTCCAACTCACTGCAATCCTATAGGACAGAGTAGATCTGCACCATAGGGTTTCCAAAGCTGTAAATCTTTATGGAAGCAGACTGCCTCATCTTTCTCCTGTGGAGAAGCCAGCAGGTTTGAACCCCCAACATTCTGGTTAGCAGCTGAATACCTTATCCAGAGCACCTTATATTCTTGCTCAACCAAAAAACAAAAAACCCACTCTCATCGATTCAATTCTGACTCATAGTGACCCCCATTGGGTTTTCAAGGCAGCAAATCTTTATGGAAGTAGGTTGCTCAGTCTTCCTTCCATAGTGTGGCTATGCCTTAGGCACTGTGTAGTCTTGCTAAGTAGGTGGTAAATTCTACTGTTTCTATACAGTCATGCACTGCATAACATAGTTTGGGCAATAAACTAGTAGTCCCATAAAGTTGTAATAGAATTCAGAAATACCAATAGAACAGGATACAGCACTTCTTGCACATAACACATGTATTTCCTGTTATATGCAAAGTGATTGTGTTGTCAGGTGTGTAATGGTCCAGTACACACAAAACCTATAATACATATGTTTTGATAGTCATAATAAATGCCTATGTTACTGGCTTATGTATGTACTATACTGTACTTTCAATCTGAAAATTTGACTGTGTAACAGTGCATGCTTCAATTTGTAGCCAGCAGCATCCAATCCGTGAATTGTGTGTCTCTTGAGTGTTGTACCATTATCTTTCTGTTTAATTTTCCTTCAAAAATATTACTGTGAAGTGCATGCCTCCCAAACGTAGCAAAATCAGGGCTAGTGATAGCAGCAGCAAGAGGCAAAGGGGAAGTATCAATGTGAAAGTGAAACAAAAGATGATTAAACAACACAAGGTGGAAAATCAGTGAACACTGTTGTTGTTGTTATGTACCGTCGTGTCAGACCCGACTCATAGCCACCCCTCCTTGGGTTTCCGAGGCAGTATCACTATGGAAGTAGATTGCCCAACCTTCCCTTCAAAGAGTAGCTGGTGGGTTTGAACAGCCAGCCTTCTGGTTAGCAATCAAGTGCCTTAGGCACTATGCCACCAGAGCTCCCAATGTTTACAGAAGTAGATTGCCCAATCTTCCTTCCACAGAGTGGCTGGTGGGTTTGAACCACCAACCTTCTGGTTAGCAGTCAGATGCCTTAGGCACTGAGCCATCAGCTGCTGCCAGTGAACACTATTGCTTGTGATTTAGGAATGCCATACGTGACAATCACAATTCCTGAAAACAAAGAAAAAATTCTTCAAGCTGTTAAAGAATCAGCGTCACTGAAAGCTATAAGGCTAACAAAAATGTGAGAGGGATTTATATCAGATATGGAGAAATTGCTAATGACGTGGATTCAGGACTAAACACACAAGCAAATCCCTCTCAGCATGCTTGTTTGACATGCTTCAAGAAAAAGGAAAGCCAGAATACAGTATATTATTCATACAACATTCAAATTACATAATATCCTATTTTACAGGACTTATCATGGACGTCAAAGGAGCTCTGGTGGCATAGTGCCTAAGGCATCAGACTGTTAACCAGAAGTTTGGCAGTTCAAACTTACCAGCTATTCCATGGAAGGAAGACGGGGCAATCTACTTCTGTAAAGATTTTCTGCCTCGGAAACCCAATGGGGGGTCGCCATGAGTCAGAATTGACTCGACAGCAGTGAGTTTGGTGTTTTTTTGATTATGTGGATATTAAGCAACACGTAACTGTACTATTAAAGGAGTATAAGTGCAAATGCAACAAATTTGTAAATGGTTACACCTTTTGAAACCACTGTTTTCAACTGTGCACTCTTTCAACTTCCATCCACGTCTGTATCTGGGCTGTGTGGGATGAGGAGCAGCTGAATTATTTGCCTTTTTCAAGAAGCATTATCAAAGGATTGAGTTTTCGAAAGTCACAATAATCAATCACATTGTGAAAATTTCCAAGAAGTATCATTTAAACTACAGCAAAAATGTAAGAGCAGTTTTTCATGACAGGGGAGTGGTTACAAATGATATTCAGGCAGAAAAACAGGAAGTAAAATGAAAATAAATAGCTTTTATGTATTTCAAGGTGCTTTTACATTCATTAATTTGTTTAAAATTTAATTTCAGAAGCCATATAATTGTGGTGATGGTTACTATCCTATATATATCCTTTTTGTAGGTAATGGATTAAGAGGGGTTTATAACTGATATTCCAATTTGCTTATAAAAGTTATCAATTAAAAGTAGAACAACAATAAAGAAGGCTGGTTTATTTAACATGATGTGCAGGTAGTTGAGACACAGAGGGAGCTTGGGGGAAAATACATCCTAAACATGACTATCACTTCCCTTCAGTTCTAACACTAAAACCAACGAAAGGATATTGTAGTCAAATATTTTTATGATAAAGCCTTTTCAACTGGCACTGCCACATGAAGAGGCAAACAGATCAATGGAATAAAACAGAAAATCAAGAGATAGATCCAATAGCATAAAAAATTTAAAAGTACAATGAAGGCAGCTACTTAAATCCATGAGAAAAAGATGGATGCTTTAGTAAGTTTTTGGGTAAGCTGACAGTCATATAGAAAAAGATAAAGTTGAATCCATTCCTCATACAATTCACTATAAAAAATTAAACCATACAAGTACTAGCAGAAAACATGAGTGAATTTCTCTATAGCCCAGAAAAGAGAGAAAATGTTCTAATTAATGACTCAAGATCAAGAAGCAGTAAATAAAAACGTTGATACACCTTATTAATATAAATTTGAGGAAAAAAAAAACTTGCATGGTAAGCCTCTGGGAATAAATATTTGTAAATTATATAACAGACAAGGAGCCTTGCTAGTGCAGTAGTTAAGCGCTGGGCTGCTAATTGAAAGGCCAGTGATTTGAACTCACCAGCGCCTGTATGGAAGAAAGATGTGGCAGTCTGCCTTTGTAAAGATTATAGTCTTGGAAACCCTATGGGGCAGTTCTACTCTGCCCTATAGGGTTCCGATTAGAAACTGACTCAAAGGCAACAGGTTTAGTTTGGAATTATACAACAGACAACTAGTTGGAATCTCAACTTTTATATAAAAAAACACAAAAAATGATCACAGATCATAGATAATTGCCACAGTAACAAATATAAATGGCTCTTAAACATATGAAAAAAAGTTCAACCTTGCCCAAATGGGAGAAATGCAAATTGATACTACACTGAGACACCATGTCTCACACACCACACTGGCAAAAACACAAATAATTGACAATATACTCTGTTGGGAAAACAGGCACTATCACACACTGCTGGACGAAAAATAAAACGGTATGACCTATTCACAGGAATTTGGCAATACCTAGAAAAATTCACACGCATTTACCTTTGATTCAACGATTCCACCTCTAGAAATCTTTCCCAAAGATACACACACACACACACACACACACAAAGATACACTAAAACACAGAGCTAAGTCCCTATTTTTAATCCCATAAAACTGAGAAAAACTAAATGCCCAATAATAGGGGACCAGTTGAATAAACTATGGTATATCCACACAATGTACTGTGATCCCCATAATATATTGTTGAGTGAAAAAAAAAGGAAAATGAAGAAAAGTATACTACCATTTTAAAAAGGAAGTAATATTTACATAACAAAATGTATTTTTTATTTAAAAAGGATAATCCATACAAATAAAGGTTACCTATGGGAGCTCTGGGAGCTCTGGTAGCACAGTGGCTAAGACACTTGACTGCTAACCAGAGGGCTGGCGGTTCAAACCCACCAGCCACTCCTCGGAAGGAAGATGGGGCAATCTACTTCCATAGTGATACTGCCTCGGAAACCCAAGGAGGGGTCGCTATGAGTCGGGTTCAACTCGACGGCACATAACAACAACAACAACATGGGAGCTCTGGTGGCATAGTGCCTAAGGCATTTGACTACTAACCAGAAGGCTGGCAGTTCAAACCCACCAGCCACTCCTCAGAAGGAAGGTTGGGCAATCTACATCCATAGAGATACTGCCTCGGAAACCCAACGAGGGGTTGCTATGAGTTGGATTCGACTCGAAGGCAGTGAGTGAATGAGTGATGGGGAAAGGAGAAAACAGGTAAAGAGAATAGGATATAAACTAGACCTCCCTGAATATATGAACTGTTGAATGGAAAACTAATTTGCTCTTGTAAACTTTCACCCAAATCACACATATACACATACACACACACAAATTAAAAAACAAAGACCTATTTCCTAGGCCTGTCTGCTGAAAAGGTCCAGAAACAACAAACAATAAGCACCTCCAATATCCAGACTATGGTCTCTAAATATCGGGCCCCTGGAGAAATGGCTGAAATCAGAACTAGGGCAGGAAATGTACAAGGTGAATCTGGAACATCTTGTCATCCCAGAAGGCAAGGAAGCTGTCAAAGTACTAGGGCCATATCAAAAGGACTGGGAATCAATCTGAATAAACTCCCACCCAGCAAAGATGGAAGGAACATATCAAGTACGTTTAGATCCATGAGTTCATAATGCTATTTTTGTAAAAGTCACTTTTGGAAGACAGAGGCCTTATTGAAAATTACTTCAGCCTGCCTTTCTCACACAGTGTGCATGAGGGCAACCAACCAGTTAATGAGTAGTTTCTCTTTTCAGAAGCATTCCAGTTCATATATGAAGAAGGAATGGAGAGAAAGAATTTTGCCACTTGGTAATCCCTCATGATATAAGGGACTTAGACAATAATCACTGTCATGTGCCATCAAGTCGATTCCGATGCATAGTGACCCCATGTGACAGAGTAGAATTTCCCCATAGAGTTTTCTAGGCTGTAATCTTTAAGTGAGCAGATTGCCAGGTCTTTTTCCTAGAGAGCCACTGGTAAGTCTGAAGAACCAGTCTTTTGGTTGGCAGCCAAGTGCTTCACCATTGTGCCACCAGAATCAAGGGGCCCTGGTGGTACAATGGTCAAATGCTTGGCTGCTAACCAAAAGGTCAGCAGTTAAAGCTCACCATCCACTCTGCAGGACAAAAGATCTGGTCATCTGCTCCCATAAAGATTACAGCCTAGGAAACCCTACAGTGCAGCCGCACTCTTGTAGGGTCCCTATGAGTTGAAATTGACTAGATGGTACACAACAACAACATACAAGAACAACCAGAATCTTTTTTAAGAAACTAACTAGCTACCAAGATCTTTTCAGTGGGATGAAGTTGCAGAAAACAAAATAGAAAATTATGAATATAACATCAAAGTCTCCACATATGAAAATATTTCTAAGACAGCTACCTCAAATCCTTTTTGGAATAAGGTGTAAAAACAGCCAACTGACAAATCCTCCCAAATGGGAAAATCCTATAAGGAAATCGTGTAGATTTTTACTTTTAGTTATTTACCTAAAGGAGTATTTCCTTTAGGTAAGGAATATTTAGGTAAAGAGCCATCTTCAAACTTCATTTTAGCACAAAATGAAACTTGTTTTATGATTAGTCTCTTTCGGTTCCTCTAACCACACATTCACAAAACTGCCTTAAAATTTCAGCAAACATTGCTATTCTATTTTTATCTTGCCACATATCCTCATTGTTGGCAAATACTTTTCATAATTATTTATTTTTCACAAATAAGGTATCACTTTCAGATTTCAGCATTAATTAATGGAGATAGCCCAAAAGGGAATGGCTTGAAGGAAAGCAGTTGTGAGCCTAAGCACGAAAACACCCTTCTCACCCAGTCCTCCAGGGCCTGCCAGCAGGAACTCCTGTCTGCCTATCCGCTTCACAATCGGACGCTTCTCTTCACTGCAGTAAGGAAACAGGTCTTGTGAAACCCCTGTGTTATAGTTCAGGATAATGTACTGAGTGGTAAGAGCCAGGCATAAGAAGTGGCCATCCACAGCCACAGCAAAGGGCTGCTCTGGAGTCGACACTTCCTTGACTATTTGAACCCGGTCCTCGTAGACCATAAACATCTGGATGGTTCTGCGTTTGACAGAAATGATACAAACTTCCACACAAAATGGGTCCCCACTCACAGGGTTCTCATTCAAAGCAAAGGTCACTGCCCCTTTGATTCGGGCCCCTGTGGGAATGGGCTCCAGGTTCATCATGTTGACCAGAGTTATGGAGTTGTCACAGAGCACCAGGAGCCTGTTGAGAGCCGACGCTGCTCTCAGTTCGTTCACTGGCTTCTTGAAACCTAGGTGTCTGTGCAGCTGTTTAGTGGCAGTGAATGTGGCTGTCCCAGTGGGCAAAGTCTTCTCCTCCAACAGGAAGTGGTAAACAAAGCAGTCATTGGTGCCAACATAGAGGTTCTTTCCACAGCACTCAACACATTCTATATTGATGCGATCCTTGTCGCCCATCAACAGCTCCCGCTCAATAGCAGAGACCAACTGAAAGGCCTTGATGTTCATCATGTCTACTGCTTGATCTGTGGGAAGAGGAAAAGAAAAACAAACAAACAGAAAAACTAGAATAACTAGAAATAAGCAGAAACATTTCAGATCACAATAAATATACATTGATTACTCAGATATTATTTCAATTAAAGAAAAAAATCATTCAACTGTTAAAAAATGGTAAGAGAAAGGGAAAGAAAATACTTCCCCACTTGGTCTTTTTCAATCATATAAATGGGAGACCCCAAAAGAAGAGCACACACACACTTGCTTCTAATTTAAGTGTCATCTGTTCATTCTCAATAAAGCTAAGATTTACATGGAATAGTCTTACACATTCTTGGGACACATACCTGTATGGAGAAAACAAACACATTTATTCACCTTTGGACAATGTAACAAAAAGATTTTTTTTGGGGAAAAAAAAATGATGCTCACTGATCTCCCCCCTGAGCTTCTGTGGCCATTTGATATTGCATATAAATGAACTGTGGGATGCAACTGTATTGTATTGTTAAATCTTGTCTCTCCAATCCTGTTAGGAAGACAGGAACCATATATTAAATTCCTTTGAACTCTTCCAAATGAAGCATGTATTTTGGCCCCAGTACCATATTTGGCTCCCAGAGTAAACGTGCTAATATAGAGTTGTAAAGATGTATCTCAAATCTCCAAAGTCCTTCAGGTGGTAAGTTATTTAGTGCATTTCTAAGATTACTGACAGGTAAGTTAATGAATCATTCCTATGGGAAAAAGAGACTTCCCTAATCATTGGCTTCACACTTCTTCCTCTGAAAATGACACTAGTTTCACACTGCACAAAGTCAGAAACTACAAAAACCATGAAAACGGCCTTCTCCTGATTCCTAATTATCTTCACACCAGACAGGGAGATCATGCTGTAAAGAGAACTGCAAAAGATTGACTGAAAAAAGAGGGGTGCTGTTGGTTTTGTAGAAAGACTTTTGCATCCCTTCAAGAATAGGGTTGCCTAGCAAGAGATTAAATTCCTCAATCTTTTGAGGCATTTCAGCAAAACCTGGGAGAACTTCTGGAAATATTCCAGGAAGATTCACATATCAATAAAGGGGAGGAATTGGATAACCTCTCTGGTGAGTTCCAACTCAAAGATTTTATAACACTACAATTTTTTGTATTCCCTTGTTCACTGGGGAAACAATAGCTATAGATGAGTAAGATTCCAGCCTTTCTTTCCTTCCAACTTTCTTTCCTTTCTCATCACTTACTACTCATGTGCCCTTGGGCAAATCACTTTACTTCTTTACGCTTCAATTTCCTCTTCTCTAAAATGGGAAGAATAATGGTGCCTACTCCATACAATTATTTTAGGATTAAGTAAATTAATTCATGTAAAATTCATGTATCTAGCCCATAGAAAGCACTCAATATAAATAAGGGTTTGATATTATCATTAACATTATTATTCCTTCCTAATCTGGACGGTTCCCATACCCCTTTATCCCCCAGTTTACCTTAAATTTTTATTTCTCAAGTTTAGGATTAAGAGATAAAATAATGTCCTTCTGCCCTTGGGTAAAGGAGCTCAGGTGGTGTAATGGGGTTAAGGCATTTAGCTGCTAACCAAACGACTGGTAGTTCAAACCCACTAGCTGCTCTGAGGAAGAAAGAGGAGGCAGTCTGCTTCTGTAAAGATTTACAGACTTGGAAACCCTTCTATGAGTCACTGAGTCAGAACTGACTTGATGGCAGTGAGTTTGGTCTGGTTTTGGCCCTTAAATATGGGTAATCTGTGTCTATCTCCTCTAAAGGACAGACCAAAGTGTGAGCCAGAATACACACATACAAATTTCACACATAGGCATTTTCATATTCACTTACATAAGGTCATTTTCACAGAGATTATGGAAAACCGAAATTCATTGCCATTGAGTTGATTCCAGGTCATGGCGACCCTCATTGGGTCTCCAAGGCTGTAATTCTTTATGGAAGCAGAACGTCCCACCTTTCTTCTGTGAATCAGTTGGTAGGTTTGACCCACTGGCCTTCTGGTTAGCAGCCAGATGCCTTAACTGATATACCACCACAGCTCCTTGAGACTATGGAAAGGAAGTGGGAAAAGGAAGGAGTGAGGCTCAAAAGGCACCATGGGCAAGGAATTGTATTTATCTACCTTGAAAAAAAAAAAAAAAAACTCACTGTCATCGAGTCAGTTCCGACTCATAGCGAACCCTCCTTGGGTTTCCGAAGCAGTATCACTACGGAAATAGATTGCCCCATCTTCCTTCCGAGGAGTGGCTGGTGGGTTTGAACCACCAGCCTTCTGGTTAGCAGTCAAATGCCTTAGGCACTATGCCACCAGAACTCCTTTCATCTACTTTGAGGCTGCAGAAATTTCCTGGGGTCCCAAGGAAAGGCTAAGGAGGGGGATTTTCAAATAATCTCTGGCACAGAAAATTTTTAAGCACCACCACCTATTTGTCACAACCAAATATAGTGACTAAAACCTAACCTAGAGCTAGTTTTTTCCCCCATTGATATGCTCCAGAATAAAACCCAAATACTGAAGTGTAAGTTTTAACACATATAAGGAGTAAAAGCAAACTAATACAAAATACTTCTTCCTTCACTGACTGATCAAGATCAGGACTCTTAAAAAACATGATAAAACTATGAGTCAGAACTGACTTGACAGCAGTGGTTTGGTTATCATATGTTCCCACTCCAGGACATAGTAGGTAACAGGATGTCATTCTTTAAGGATAATTATTGATAAAGATTCCATTTTAATAAGTATAACTTAATCATAAATTTTTATTTTTAGCAAAAATATATTTCTCTTCTAGGTCAAGAATTCATTGGTTTATTTATTACATAATATATTTTCAATCCTATAATATTGTATCCAGGAGCCCTAGTGGCATGGTAGTCAAAACCGTTGGTTGCTAACCAAAAGGTTAATGGTTCAACCCACCAACCACTCCACAGAAGAAAGATGTGGCAATCTGCTTCCTTCTGTAAAAATTTATAGCCTTAGAAACTCTATGGGATAGTTCTACTCTGTTCTATGGGGTCGAAATCAACTCAACAGCAGTGGGTTTGGTTTTTTGGAATGTTGAATCTATAAGCCTCTGTTTGCATAATAATCTTATCAAATTTTTATCATTTTTGAGATAGGGATTTATTCTATATTTATTCCTTTTGCTGTGACTTTGTTTATGAGGCCTGGCCTTGGTAGATACAGAGAAAACAAAAAGGGGTGCAAGGTAATTAGTAAAGCCAGCCTTAAACTGATTGGAAAAAACAAGAGTGGAGATATGTGTATAGTCCTGGAAGCTGAAGGTAAGTGGGTGGAGCTTTCAGGAGGTTAAGATTGGCCTCTTAGAAGATGTGACCCAGGAGGTACAGATGCTGACCCAGCACAGGGTCAACCACATTTTAATCGTTTTCTTCATCACCTATTAATCCAGAGTGCTTTTCTAGAAATTCTGTATGGCTGAAACCCTAAATATTATATTATTTGGATTTCCATGTTCTTGAATTTTACAAAACCTTACATTTCATCTAGTATATAGTGTTCTGCTACATTTCCCCCCTCAATATTATGTTTCAGATTCATCTGTGGAGGTAGCTGTAGTTCTTTCTCTTGCGGCTATATAGTATTCCATCCTGTTGACAGAAACTTGACTTGGATTGCTTTGAACTTTCTTATTTACACTCTGGTGTACATGAAATAAAATCTGTAGGGCATATGTTTAGTAGTATTGGTTTACTGAATAATGTCAAGGGCTTACTAGAGAATGCCAAAACAGTTTTGCCAGTTTAGAAGCTTCTGCTAGCAGCATAGAGAGTTATCATTGCTCCATGATCTTGTTAAAATCTGATGCCACCAGATTTCAAATATTTTGTTAATTTAACGAGTATAAATGAATCTCACTGTAGTTATAATTTGCAATTCCAGGTGAATAATGAGGTTGAGCATCATTATGAGGTTGAGAAACTGGCCATTTCATTTTTGCTTTTCTGTTTGTATATTTTGCCCATGTTTCTACTAGCATATTTGCCATTTTCTTAGGAGTTCTTTAAATGACCCATTCTTTAAATGATCCTTTGTCA